TGCCATTCCAGTATGTCAAAGGCGAGGTCGAAGGTTTTCAATTTGAGCGGCTTCGTACAAGGGCTGAGGTTCATGCCATGGAAGATCATGAAGTTGCCGATGAGGAAAAGTTTCGTGCACAGCGGATCACTGGTGTTTTCGTAAGTCTTTCTGATTAAATTGGCAATCACAATCATTGATATAGTCTTGGACCGCGTCGATTACCTGCGAACCCAACCATCCGCCTAACGTTTAAGAAAGCTATTGTAGCGATGATCCTGACTTTTGTATTTGAGGTGCGACCGCAGATGTCCGATACGTCTGCACGACCCATACGTGCACATCTGATCGTCAATGCAGCAGGCCCTTGGGCTGGAAAAATTGCTGAACTGGCAGGGATAGGTACTCTTTAACCTTACATAGCCACAACATCCTATTGTTCCGCTGATATTCTATCGCTTTTTCCCTTTATGAGTAACTTCACTTATGAATCTTCAATAGCAAAATCTTTTATGGGCAACGTCCGAGCAAATCTGGGACTTTGTTGTTTCCACATTTTTGGAATTTTCCCGTGTGCTTTAGCTTGTAAACTAGTCCTCTTCCTTCTTCGACAGGAGGTGTTTAATCGGTGGACTTCCTGCTAATTATTCAAACAATATTCAGAGAAGGATTTTACAGTTTTCAACTATTTCAGTTCTCATGTTTGAAAACTAAATAGAATTTTACAGGAATGGAACGAGATTTTTATACGCTTTGACGGTCAATAAAGGCAACCAAGTTGTTTATTTCAGGCAAAGGCAAAGGATTACTGGCGGTCCCAGTACCCATTCGCCCCAAAAGGCGGACGAATTTTGTTGTACATGCACCTGATGTTCCAGTCGATATACCGGCTATAGTAGAGCCTTGTGGTGTGTTCTGCCGCCAACTAGATGTTGGCAATACTTTCGTGGTTGGCAGAAATCCACCTAAGGTACCTTTTCTTACAGTTTAAATCACTTAAATTAAATCGTGAGCGCTTCATCAGCCATTTCAGGAGGAAGATACCGATGAGCGAGAATCTTTAGAAGTAGATTACAATGAGTTTTATGAAAAGATTTGGCCTGTTTTGGTGCAAAGAACTCCTGCTTTCCAGACGGCAAAGGTAGGTGGTACAGCACGTTACCCACATTGTATAACAATACCATTTCAGATAAAATCAGCTTGGTGTGGTTTGCAAGATGTGAACACATTCGATTCTGCACCGGTTATTGGAGAGCATCCCTTGTATCAAAATCTTTTCATGATGTGTGGATTCGGTGGGAGGTTGGTCTAAAAGCACAACTTTTTCGCTGGTTCATGGGCTATAGCCTTCTTTTTGTGCAAATGGCGTATTGTCACTTATAAAATCGTGCCGATGGTCTGCAGTGCGGCCAGTGCGCGCA